CACATGTGTATACACACAAGATGTGCATGTACAACCAAGTATGTCTACACATATGTGTGCATACACATATGTGTGTATACACTTAAACAATATCTACTTCTATATGCATATGCATGTACACCTCTACAATAACATCTCCTCACATGTACACGTACATATATGACCACATATGCATATATACATACATATATATACAACAGCATGTCCAAGATACATACATGTGTGTACATGTACAACATGTGCATCTGTGTCTTTATGCCCATACAACATGTACATACACATATACAACACATCCATATATACAGATGCATGTACACATACACATGCATGTCCACATGTGCACATGTGTGTGTATGTATGTTAACACATGTGCTCCTATTATCATATGTCCACATGCATAAAGCTCTGGTGGCCTATTGGTAAGGAGCTGTGCTAACAACCTGAAGGTGCATGGTTCTAATCGACCGGCTTATTCCTTGAAAGACAGACAGTCTCCTCCCATGTGATTTACTGCCTCTGAAAATCTGCTGGAGGGTCAGTTATGAGTCAGTTCTGACTCAATGGGACACAGCAACAACATTAGTGTGTAGTGTGTGTGTGAGTCCGTGTGTGTGTGTGTATGTCCCTCTGTGTGTAGTGTGTGTGTAGTGTGTGTGTGAGTCCGTGTGTGTGTGTCCCTCTGTGTGTAGTGTGTGTGTGAGCCCGTGTGTGTGTGTGTGTCCCTCTGTGTGTAGTGTGTGTGTGTGTGAGTCCGTGTGTGTATGTGTGAGTCTCTGGGTAGCACAGAGGGTTAAGTGTTCAACAACGAACTGAGACATGAGTGGTTCAGATCCACCAGGGGCCCATCAGGCACAGGACTGGCCTTCCGCTCTGGAAGGTGGCAGAGCTGCCCTCGCTCTGGGGTGCAGTTTTTCTCTGCACACCTGGGGTCGCCGTGAGTCCGAGTTGCCAACCAAAGTGCTCCTCCCATGGCCTCATGCTGGGCCGACAGCTCTGTGGGCTTGGATTAAGTGTGTGTGGGCACGGCTACAGCAGCAAGCAGGACAGTATCATTGACTGAATGTTGACCGCCTCTCCCTGTCCATCTGTCCTGGCCGTCCCGAAGCCCCAGTGACTGCTGGTCTGCCCACTGTCTGAGCTCTGACCATGTGGAGGTTTTTGAACCCTGGGAACCATGACCTCCCAGTTGGCACCCACTCTGAGGGCCAAGCTCTGGGCACAGTGGCCAGCACTGAGCATGGAGGACAGACAGTGAAGGCAGCATGTCTGCACTTGTCTCATCTCCCGCCAGGCACTTCCCTCCTGGGACTGTCCTCACCAGGCCAGGCCACAAACCAGGTCATACCACTGTCCCACCCTTGCCCAGACAGGCTGCTCACTCTCGGCCAGCCACAGGTCTCAGCCTCTCCTGAGCTCCAAGAACTCGCTGCTCCTGCCTGTGAAATGGGCCCATGACCCTCACTTAGCCACCCCAGAGGTGGCCCTGCATTGGCACACACGGGGCACAGTGACCGCTGCCTGTCCCACATGTCCTCCTGTCCCACCTGCCTTTCCCTCCATATCAGCTGCAAACCCAGAAGACCCTGCTCCCACCCCCCCACCCCAAAAGCCCACCGGGTCCTTCACTTCCAGAGCATTCCATTAGCTTCCCTACCTCCAGTCATCCCAAGGTCTCAGGTGCTTGGCAGGGGCCACAATCCCCTCTCCTCACGCCCTGGGTGGCCACCTTCAGCTTTTCATGTGGGCACATTGAGACTCCGAGCACAGGGACCCTGACCCCTCACATGCACATTGCTGCTGGACTTTGGTGCAGGCTGGAATCAGCCCAGAGTAGGGTCGGGGGTTACCTCAAAGTTCTCAAACCGCACCTGACCTGTTTAGGGCTTTGTAAGGAGTCCTGGAGGTGCACAGGGTAGTGCTGACTGGAAGGTCACTGGTTTGAACTAGCAGCCAAGGGAAGGGATGGGCAGTGTCCTCCCATAAAGATTTACAGGCCCAGAAACCTGACAGAGGGTCACCATGAAAGGGAAACAACTTGACGTCAGCAGGCTCGGGTGGCCTGTGGCTGAAGCCCATCTTCTGAAGGCGGTCAGGGCTTCATGGATCCTGGTCCTATACAGAGGGAGGGGCTCCGGTTGGCGGGGAGGGCAGGGTGGCCACACCCAGAGCTGGGTCTTGGCATCCTCCTGTGTGCCCCCACAGGGTGGCCCTGGAACTTCTTGTTCCAGGTCTCATCCCTCACCTGGCCTAAGGCAGGGGTCCAGCATACAAGAGTGTCCCCAGCTTCCCCAGCCTGAACGGACCTAGGGGGATTCTCCCCCCAAGTCCTACAAACCTCCCACACCTTGGCTGCCCCTGGACCCAGACACCCTCGTGGGGGCCTGCCTGTGGCCTGTGGGGCGGACACTGGCAGAACTGGTTTGGGCTCAGCTGGTTCTTGGGACAGAGGGCTCCCCCAGAGGGCAGGGTAGAGGAGGCTGCTGGACGGGGGTGAGTCATGCCACCTCTAAGGGGTGGTCCACAGGCTCGCTGCCTGGGGAGGGGCACAAGCACCCATGTGGGCCTTCTAGAGAAGTCCAGCATCCTGAGGCTGGCAGGTGACCTCCCTGCCCAGGGCCTCACGTGAAGGGCCTGTGAGGCCCTCACCGCACTGCTTGTAGGCCAGAGCAGAGCCCCCCAGCTCTCTGAGGCTGTCACTGTTACAGAAGTTTCTTCCCCCAAGGAGTGGCTAGTGGATTCGAACCACTGACCTTTCACTGGCCCAGCACTCAACCCACTGTAGGGCCAGGGCTCAGTGGGCCCACTCCAGGGGCCGGGCCCACTCCAGGGGCCAGCATGCCGTCCCAGGCGTGTGGTGGACATGAATGGAGCCTCTGGGGTTTACCTCCTCCAGGCAGACACGTGGTCCCCCGAAGCAGTGCTGTCCAGAGAGGTGGAGGGGCTAGAGGAAGAGGTGAGCATGGCTGGGGAGAGCAGGTGGGCCCTTGAGGCTGAGGGATGGGGAAGCGTAGGCAGCACGATGCGCTCACAAAGGCCCCGTGTCAGGGCATCCTCACAAGAGAACAAGGAGGCTGTGAACAGAGGGAGGAGAGGCAGAAGGCCACTGGGCCTGGGGGCCCCCATGCTGGCCATGGGGGGGACCAGGGACCCGAGAGCAGAGGCAGGAGAGGCAGAGGGCCGCTGGGCCTGGGGGCCCCCATGCTGGCCATGGGGGGGACCAGGGACCCGGGAGCAGAGGGAGGTTCCCGTGTTCACACAAGGAGCATCCGGTGACTCAGCACTTCCCCTTTCTCCATATCTGGGACCAGAGGTCCCGGCTGAGGGCCCCTGAGCCACACTGGGGCCCTTTGGACTGGGTGAGGCCGTGGGGAGCCTTTCCTCGGCTACTGGAAGCTTCCGTTGACAGAGCACTCCATACAGGAAGATCACGAGTCAGGCCTGGTTGTAGGAGTGACACAGCAGACACAGGGCCACCTGCCTGGTGCTCCCCCAGGGTGACAGCAGAACAGGGGGGCCGAGGGTGCTGGGGAGACCCAGCCGGAAAGGGTGCGTCAGACCCAGCTTTGTAACTTTATTCTGGGGCCTTGGAAGCCGGAGGGGTCCTGGTGGTGGGTGCACAATTTAGCAAGCTGTTCACCAAGAGGTGGGCTGTTCAAGTCCACCAGCTGCTCCTCAGGAGAAAGACGGACAGTCCCCCCCATAACAGTGTACAGCAGGGAGCCAGTGCAGGGGCGCCAGCAGTGACCGCTGGGCAGCCGTGGTTTGGAAGCAGAAAAAGTGAAAACTAGCCCTTAATGCCGTCGAGTGAGACCCACCCCATAGCTGCCCCCCCGGCGGGTTTTCAGGGAGAGTAACCCATGTGGAAGGCGCTCGGCCGTCCTTTGCCTACGGAGCAGCTGGTGAATTCGAACCGTGTGCCCTTGGGTTGGTAGCACAGCTCCTTACCCACCAGAGCTCCCTGAATGAGCATAGCGTGAGATGCAGATTTGCTTTTTAGGCGTCAGCAGGTCAGGTCTGGCCTCCTGAGACCCTCTGACCAGCAGGACTCTCAATGGACCTACCCCCACCAGCCCACCAGTGGGTGCCACATAGAGCCACCCCCTCCCGTCACCCAAGCCTGAGCAGGGGTGGACACAGCGGTCCCACAAACCCCACTCTGGTGCTGGGCGTAGCCTTTGAGGCTTGGCTCGGGAGAGGGCTGGCTCAGGCCCTGTGAGTGGTGGTCAGTGGGAACTCAGACAGGTCAGCACAAAAGCCAAGGGCAGAATTGGAGTGGGAGCCAGAAAACACTGAATGATGCTCTGCCCGCCCCCCTTCCCGCTGCCCCTCCAAAGGCCTCCTTTGTGTCCACTGGGTGGGGGTGGGCCCCCAGTGACGTAGACTCGAGACGGGGGCAGAGGAAATGAGGTCACCACAGGGAGGGGGCAGGGGTCTCCTCCCAGACCAAGAACAAAGGTGGGGGCATGAATGAACTGAGTGGCCCTGACCCCTTGTCCTTGGCTTGGTTTTCCTGGACTGGTGAATGAGGCTCTTTCCTGCAGGATGCGTGTCCATCCGTGTTAGTGCTGCCCCTCTGTAGTTGGCCATCATGCTGGTCCACACTCAGTGACCCTGTGACAGAGGACAGGCAGAGCTGCCCCCGGGCGTCCTGGACTCCTTGACTGGAGCAGCTCGCCAGGGCATCCACCCTCAGGGCCGTGAGTGGATTTGAACCAACGACTCTGGGGTTGGTGGATGAGTTCTCAGCCACATGCCACTCAGGGTCTGCAGTGTTAGGACAGTACAGCAGCAGGCGGGGTCCTGTCCCATGTCCCGCCCTCACAGAGGGGCCTGCAGGGCAAGATGAGGGGTGGGGGACAGAAGGAGCCTGGCCAGTGGACAGAGCTGGAATGACCTCTCCAAGAGGCAGGGCTGTGGACAGAGCCGGGGTCACTCCTTGCTCAGAGAGGACACCCCAAGTCCCCCAGAACACTTGTGACCTTCAGCCCCCGGCCCTCCAGTGGCCCCAAACCCAGATCCTGCCAGTCCTGATGCAGCTCCGGCTTCCGGCCAGGCCCCTGCCCTCTTGTAAGCAGCCTCCCAAAATAGCCCTCTAAGTGACCGCCTCTGTCCCACCAGTTCCCAGGCCTCTGTCAGAGAACGTGGCTTTGTTTCTGCCCAGCTGGCCAGGCAGTGACGTGGGGGCCTGCAGGGCTGGAATCTGGAGGAAGGGCCCCCCTCAGAGGACAGGCCGCGGCAACCAGCCCTGAGGCCGCCCGTGACATGTGGGGCCCAAGTCCTGCCTCATCCTGACCTGGAGGTCATGCAGGGAGCTCTCTGGGGTCCTGGCGGTCCTCTGAGCCCTCTGCCCTGCACCTCCTGCTGGACATGCTCACAGTGTGTGCATGTGTGTCTGTGTGTGTGCATATGTGTGTGCTCGCATGTCTGTGCATGTGTGTCCGCATGCAGTCGTGTGTACATGTAGGTGCGTGTGCACGCGTGTGTGGTTTTGTGCACCTGTGCAGGTGTGTGCACGCGGGGAAAGGGCCTTGTCCTGGCAAAGCCTCACTTCTCCTCATCTGTAAAATGAGTGGCACCCCTCAGCCCTGTGCCTACACAGCACAGATGAGACCTGGGGTCCCACAGTCCTCCCTCTCCAAGCTGCAATTTTGGGGTCCTCCCTGTCTCCACACAGCCCCATCCCAGCCCTTCCGGAGCTCTGACGTGGCCCTGCTGTCCACTGCTCTTGAGGTTCTGGGCATTTTCTTACAGTGTGAGGGTCAGGGGTTGGGGTGCCATCAAGAGCCCCAGGACCTGAGGGCCAGTGCGGCCTTCACATGGGGACATCCAGGTGGGTCAAGCTGTTCTCAGTGCTGAGAGCGAGGATGGGGGTGTCCAAGCCCATCAGCTCTCTTGACCACTTTGTCACCTCCAGGATGCAGTGCCCTATCCTCGTGGCACTCGCTATCAATGTCCTGGGTACTGTCCTCAGCTTCACCTTCATCCCGGCCAGCACCAAAGGGACCAGTGGGGATGCCCAGGCCCCCCCAGCAGGTAAGCCCACCGGGTGGCTCCCCCGTGTTTACACCAGCCCTGCCTGTCCACCTAGCGCCTTCAGGGGCAAGTACAGGGGCATGAGGCCTCAGGGTGCCCTCGCACCCACTTCCATTCCTGGAACCCCTGCAGGGCACTGAGTGGCTCTCGGCTGCTGACTCCATCAGGGCCAGGTCCAAGGAGGAAGAGGCCAGTGGTCCTTGTCTCCAAGGACAGGTGGGATTCAGCAGTGGAAGCATGAAGAGGGGAACCTCAGGAGGCCAGAGCGCCATGGGGTGCTGGAGGAGCGAGAGTACCCTGGTGGCCTGGCCAAGTGTCCTCCGGCTGCCATGCCAATGCAACAGACAGCTGCCTTCTCACTGGGGGCTAAATCCTTTTCCTAAAGGATTCCTTCCATGAGCACAGGGGTTAACGTGCTTGGCACTAAAGTCAAGGTTGATGGTTCAAGCCCTCTAGTGCTCCTTGTGGGAAGTTGGCACTGTCTGCTGTGAAGGAAACAGACATGCTGGTGGCAGCTCTGCTCCGACCTGTGGCATCATGCTGGATTGGAACTGGCCCGGCGGTAGAGGATTGGGTTGGGTTGAACCTAAGCTGGAGTGTGGACAAGGCTGCCAGGAGGAGCCCTTCCTAGCCTCTTCCAGCTTCTGGTGGTCCCAGGCGTCTTTGGCCACATCCTGGGGAGAGCTGGGTGTAAGAGGTAGGCACTGGGCACAGCTGGTCTGAAACACTCGTCCCCAGGGAACCCCAAGGCCAGCGTGTTTGACCTGAAGGCCATCAGCCGCCTGCTGCTCCTGCCCGGAGTCCTGCCCGTCTTCCTCATCAAGGTGGTATCCGGCTTTCCGTCAGGTGAGGCCCTTGGCTGTCTGGTGGGGGCTGGGAGGAAATGGGGGCAGGGCAGGGGGCACGGCTCCCCACCCCCACGGGCCAGCATGTCACGTCCAGCCTGCCTTCTGGTCACCCCTCAACTGGTACCAGATCCCACCAGCTCAGTCTCTCTCCCTGTTCAGACCTGGAAGCACAGGGAACAGAGTGGGGGCTCAGAGGCAAGTGCCCCTCCCTCCCCGACAGACCCTCCGAGGGGTCCTCTAAGACTACAGACTTCAGTATGGATTGCACGTCAACATCCAGAAAACAGAAATCCTCGTCCCTGGACCAGAAGCACTGGGGAGAAGCCTGGCGTTGTTGAGATTTCCATGTGCTTAGATCCACACACCACACCCGTGGAGGCCGCAGCCCGAGACCGACTGCTGCCGCGGCCTCTCGGAAGACACGCCTGGTGGAGAGTCGTCCACGTCGTTTCAGCTCGCTTCCTGTGAGCGCAGTTGGACGATGAGGAAGGAAGAGTGAAGAAGGAACCCTGTGAATGGGGCTCTTGGCAGAGAACCGTGTGGACCTTCGAGTGAAAAGACCGAACAAATCTGCCCTGCAGGATGTGTGACCGGGGCGTCCCTTGGAGGCGAGGAGGGTGACTTCGAGCATGTTGTCCGGAGGGGCCAGTCCCTAGAGAGGAACATCATGCCTGGAAAAGGGTCAGCGACGGAGAAAGGAAGAACCTCTGCCAGATGGACAAGGCCCGCGAGAGTGGGCACAGTGGGCGTGTGGAGATGGGGGCGGCGTGCCGGGGACAAGGCACACGGGCCGCAGGCTTGGTGATACCTGAGAGCAGCCAGGCTGTCCGTGAGGGATGGTGGAGCCCGTGGAAAGGGGGGATGCTTGCATAGCACGTGGCGTGGGGTTATACCATGGAGCGGTCAGTGTGAAGAAACTGAAGAGACAGGGGACTTTGTTGCTTGTATATGTTTATCATGATTTTTAAGGAAGATTGTGCAGGGAAACCGAAGGCCTTTCAGGTTTCCTCAGACCGAGGAATGGTGGGGCTCAGCCCTGGGCCCCCATTTCCAGACAGCCTGGACCAGAATGGCCTTGGGCCCTGGACAGCCCATCCACACGCTAGTTCTGGCCTCATCTTCCCTCCATCAGCACATTAGCCGCTGAAAGGAGGTTCTTCCTAGGATGGGCTCAGTACTGTCCAGGGATAGTCCAGGACAGTGCTCAGAGCTCCAGGACATGACACTGTGCGGGCCTGAACCCTCACTGCGGCCAGTGCCCGTGGTCCCTGCTGGCCAGGCAGGTGTGGCTGGGTGGGCGCTGACTGCCCTGAGCCCCTGCTGGCCAGGTGGGCACTGACTGCCCGTGGTCCCTGCTGGCCAGGCAGGTGTGGCCGGGTGGGCGCTGACTGCCCTCTACCTCTAGGCCTCTTCATGATCATGTTCTCCATCATCTCCATGGACTTCTTCAAACTGGAGGCCGCCCAGGCCGGCTACCTCAACTCCTACATTGGGATCCTTCAGATGGTGAGTAGATGGCACAGTGGCCTCACCCTGGGCTAGTCCCCCTCCGTGAGGAGTTGTCCTCTACCGGCCACTCCGAATGGTCCATGGCTGGGCTTCCTGCACCAAGACCCTTTCCCGTCAACACCTTCCTCCCCATCTGCTCCTGCCCAGCACCAGGCTCCGGTGATCCAGGCCCTTGCCCCCACCTCCTCCGTCTCCAGGGCCCCCTTGGAGCCCCCAGGGCTGCCCTCACATGCTTCACAGTGGGGGCCGCAGCTCTAGAGGCCGGGACACCCCTCGGGGGGCTCCGCAGATCTCTCCACCTCTGGTGGCCTCTGTCAGCTGTGGCCACACTGTCCAATGTCCGCCTCGTTGGTCACATGTCCTCCGTGTATGTCCCTTCCTGAGTCCTGGTCCTCTGCCCCTCCCTCACAAGCACCTGCCCGTCTCCTGCACAGCTTGATCACATCCAAGTCCCATCACACAGCAGGAAGTGGGCTGAGAGGCTGACGTGCATTCTGGGGGAACACGGGTCCACCCCACCCCCCAGTCCTTTCCCCATCCTCCTCCTCCTGTCAGTTTACAGCCAACAATAGAGATAACATGATAGGGAGGTGTAGCTGCCAGCACAAAGGCAGGAGGTTCAAATCCACCAGCTGCTCCACCGTCAGAAGATGGGCTTCTTCCCACTGCGATTTACAGCCTCTGAAACCTCCTGAAGGGCCAGCGTGGGCCGGGCCAGACTCCACCACACACAGCTTTCAAACATGTGTAGTCCCTCCATTTATCTCGTTACCTCTCTATCGTCTATTTTATAGACTGTGCAAAAGTCTGTCTTCATTTCTTTTGCTGCCCCCTCGGTCCTCCTTATCCAGGAGTGATTCCTTCGGTGGCCACACCTGACCCATGTCCCTCCCCCAGCGCCCCTGCCCAGGCCTTGTCCAGCTGTGCCACCAGGGGTCCTGGCATTCTGTTTTGGGACCACACACGGCTGGACTGCAGGGGCTGGGGGAACTGGCCATGAGCTGCGGACAGCCCAGTGCAGCGGGTCTCTGAGGGGGAGGTGACCAGGCCTCACCCACGGCTGGCCAGTGGCTTCTGCCTGGGTGACCATGTGGGTCAGCAAAACTGCCATAGGGTGTCCAAATCAGAAGCTGATCACCAGGCCTTTCTGCAGAGCAGCTAGTGGATTCGAACCACTGACCCTCTCAGTCAGCAGCTGAACAATTACACCCTATACCACCAAGGCTCCTTCAGGCAGGGGGGCCCTACCCAGGAAGTTGGGGTAAGCAAGGCGGGCTTCCTGGAGGGGGTGGCCCAGCTCTGCTCTGCCTAGGAGTCCTGTCTGAGAAGGGAGGCAGGGGAGCCGTTGCTTGGCCTGTGGACAGCGGTGCCTGTGTAGTGTGGACTGCCGTGACAGCGAGCCGGGGCAGGTGGGGGCCCGTGTAGGCTTCAGGAGGCGATCCAGCAGCGGGCAGCCTGGAGGTCTGTCTGGCCTCTTCCCCCAAGCTGTCCCGGCCAGCCAGGGCGTGGGCTGAACACGTCGCAGCCTCTGTCTTGACTTCTGCCAAGTGAGGCTGAGAAGCCATCTGGTCGTGGGGTGCCTGCGGGTTCCGTGGACTTGGTGGGAAGCTCCCCCTTTCTCCCTCTGGATGCCACAGCTGGGCAGGAATGGCCTCCTGGAAGCCTGGTGGCAGGTGTCCTTTCCAGACTCTAGCCCAGTGGCTCCTCTTGGACATTCGGACAGACCGGGGGTGGGGGTGGCAGGGACAGGTGGTGCAGTGCACAGGAGGGCCTATTCTGGGACGGGGCAGGAGGAGGCCAAGTTGGAGGCCTCTGGAGATTTGTTCTGAGAGGACCCTACTTTGTAGGTGGGGCCTGGACTTCCACAGAAGGAGGGTCCCCGGTCCCAGGTCTGCAGACTCTGGAGTGGGTGTGGGTCTCCTGCCGGCACTGGGGGCATGGACAGGATGGCTGGGGCCACCAGAGGCCCCAGAGCCACCGTGATCAGAGGTGTGCTGTTGATGTCTGTAGTTGAAAGTGGAGGCTGAGGCCTGTGAGGAGCCCGCTCTGGTCAGCATAGCCTGGGGGCTCGAGAGGAGGTGTGGGCCGCTGCTGACCGGAAGGTTGGCAGTTCAAACCCACGTGTTAAAAGGTGAACACTTCCCGTGGAGCTTCAGAGCCTCAGAAAGTGGTGGTGTGTGGATGAGATTCTTGCTGGGGTCTTCCGCGCTTTCGTGATTTACTCTTGGGTGTGTTGCACCAGTGGCACTTGTCAGACAGTGATCCTTCTGAAGAACTGAGAACAAACTAGAATGAGCAGGCGGGGGAGCCAGGAGCAGATGTGGGGGAAGCTGGGAGCAGGGGTGGGGGTGAGTGCTGGGAGCAGGGAGGGGGGAAGCAGCAGGGGAGTGCCAGGAGTGGGGGGGGGGATGAGAGTATATCAGGAGCAGTGGGGCTGGGAGTGACTGGGGTCCAGGAGTGAGCCAGGAGGGGGCCAGGAGCTCACCAATCAGGCTCAGAAAGGCCTTTGTGAATGAGAGCAGTGAGGCTCCTGGCAGGAAGTGGGGAGAGTGGTTGGGCCCGTTCTACAGGGCCGGGTTGCCCCTGAGACGCTGCCAGCCCCGGGCTCTTCCCACCCTCCCAGTGCGAGTGACCACACTTCCTGTGCTGTCTGAAGAGCCAGGGGACCCTTAACCTGGGGCCCCTCCTCCTGGGTAGGGCACACCTAGGAGCTAAGGAACGATTCCAGCTGGCAGCAGGCAATCCAGGAACCCAGGCCGCTCTCTGACTCTGGGGTAGTGCTTGTTTTTGAGGGTCCACCCACGCTTCCCCCACTGACCAGCTCTGTAATGTCAGCCTTCTGGGCCTTGGTCTACCCAGCTGGTGAATGGGATGGTGGCCTGGAGGGCTGCGAAGTCACACTTCTGGTGCAGTCTGCCTGTCACCAGCACATTCGTATGGGAGACAGGGTGCCCATCCACCCACCTGCACCCTCTGAGCCGCCGTATCTGCATTGACAGGCCTGGAAGGCTGAGGGAGAGGGTTGGTGGAGTGGAGGCATGTGGGGACTGTGTGGCACCGCAGGGGCCCCTGGATCGCACCCGCTGCCCAGTGTCAAGTCCAGCTCTTCACAGCCCTGCTCAGCGTCCCGACATGAACACAAAGGAGACTGCTTGTCCCTCCGTGTCTGAGCTCCTGGCACACTGGAATCGCCAGACCTTTGCTTAGCAATCTAACATGTAAGGCTCGCCTTTCAAAGGGCAGAGGCCTTCGGTGTGCACGCCTTCACTGAAAAATCACAAAGCAAACTGGCTTTTCACACACTCGGGTCCCTTTTATTTTATAACATGACTCATGGTCCCCACAATGACGGCACTGTCCACATTCCCTCTCTGTAATTCTCATTTCCTTCTATGCTGCTCGTTCCTGCCTTTGGGACTCCCTCCTCTTTTGACCTTCTCAGGTGGGTACCTAAGAAGCACCCCCCTTCCACCCACCCACCTCACCGAGGTTCCTAGCACCCCGATGACAGATGACAGCTGTCCCAGACAGTTTCTCAGCCACAGACCAGAGCTCTGGTGGTACAGTGATTACATGTGCTGTTAACCAAAAGGTTGGCTATTTGAGTCCACAAGCTGCTCCGCAGGAGGCTGGACCGTCTTCTCCGGTAAAGATTTAAACCTGGGAGCCGCCACAGAGGCCACTTATCGGAACAGACCCGGCAGCACTGGCTGGGGCGGGGGCTTTTATTTGAATCTTCATGGGAGTGGATGGCAAAGTCCTTCACCCTCAGAGCGACTGGTGGATTCGAAGCAAAGTCCTTCACCCTCAGAGCGACTGGTGGATTCGAACCATAATCCTTTAGGATGTTGTTGTTAAGTGCTGTCAAGTCGTAGGTGACTCATAGCGACCCTGTGAACAGAAGTCCTCGACACTTGCATGCGTAACTTTCATCCTTTCTCCAGGTTCATAGGGTTTCCGGAGGCAGCTGAAAACTAGGGCAGCTCTGGGTGGGCATAGAACCCCCAGGACTGCTGAGGACTCCGGCCTGAGGTTCCCACTGCCTTGGGTGGAGGGCGGCAGCCCAGCACCCCCTCCCATCTCCCTGTCCTTTCCCCAGGTCGTCCAGGGTCTGGTGGTTGGACGGCTGAGCCGCCGCTTCTCCAAGCGCACCCTTCTCCAAGCCAGCGTACTGGTCTTCGTCATCGTGGGTCTCGCTATGGTGAGTGCCCACTCCTCACCCCCAACAAAGCTGCAGTCTCCAGCTACAGAACTAGGTCCTCCTGGGAGCTGGCGGACACTGAGTCCCGGCTGCAGCGCGTGGGCCCCTCCTGGCTCCTCCTGCCCTGCATGCCCTCGATGGGGCAGCGCCATGGAGAGGAGTGGGGACCCCAGGGTGGGAGCTCTTCCAGGCGCCCCTCAGCCCAGACCTGCCGCTCTTTCCAGGCTCTCATGGCCAATGTCTACCACTTCTGCCTCCTGGCGCCTGGCCTGATCTTTAGCCTGTGTGTCCTCAACGTGGTCACCGACAGCATGCTGACCCAGTCCGTCTCCCCCGCAGACACAGGTGAGCATGGCTTGCAGTTCCATCAGCCTCCAGGGAGTGGGAGAGGGGTGACCTCTGGACCGGGGGCCCTGCTCTGGGGGATGCTGACTCTGGGGGAGCCCGGTCAGCCCTGGGAATCTTACCCAGCAGTGTGGAGTGGAGCAGCCACCCTGCTTGTGGTCAGTCCGCCCAGCACAGGGGGTGTTGTGCGGGTGGCGGGAGTGGGGTCAGACGCAGTCTCTGGTCACCCTCCTGCCTGGCTGTGGGGCCCAGCCTTACCCTGCATGGAGGTCCTGCTCACCAGCCTGGACAGGTCAGGGAGGAGGGCTTCTAAGAGGTGGTGTCTAATTCAGTCGTGAGATTTAGGCACAAAGTCCCTAAAAAGAAAGAAAGTTGGTTCTCTGGAGGGTCTGGCTGGGTTCCTGAAACCAGGCAGAGGGCAGTTAGTCCAGTGGTCAGAATAGGGGGGCTACCAGGCAAGTATGGGCCAGCTCAGGAGGCCAGCATGTCTCAGTCCCTTCTGTTCATACTCACTGTGGTATGACTGAAGAGCAGATGGATGAATGAATGAATGAATGCACAAGGCTCCTTAATCCCTATGGTTCCTCAAGGCTGCCTCCTCCAGGAAGCCCTCAAGCAACCCCTGGACCACTCTCCAGACCCAGCTTGATTCTGTGAGGCCAGGGTCTCCAAGCCGACTGGGTGTTCCCTGGATTGGTGGACAGTGTACAGATGACCCATTCTGGCGATCTTGTGGACTGGCTGGGGTCCCAGGGCCTGAGGGGCTTTGGGCACTAGCTGGCCCTCTGTCTGTGCACCTGGACCAGGGCAGCCAATGAGTAGACTTGTCCTTCAGGCTGCCCTGGAGAATTCAGTGGCCACTGAGGGCTTCCTGGAGGAGGTGAGGCTGGTACTCTGGAGAGGCCAGGAGGAAACAGAAAATAAAGCCAGGAAATAGCATGTAGGCCTGGGGGTGGGGGCCCTGGACGCTAGGGGAGAGCAGCCTTTTCTTGGGCAGTGGTGGCCCAGTCAGGCCAGGCCTGCATCGTGCCCTAGGCACCCTCCCCCACGCTGGGAGGAGCCACTGGGTTCCCAGCACCAGCCTGGGAACTTCAGGCTGTGGAGGAGGCAGTAATTGAGGGCTGTGGGCGGTGGGAGGGGCTGCCTAGGGCTCCCAGGACACTGGTGACCCTCTGGACAGGAGCTCAGCCATCTTTGGGGGCAGGGACCAGTATCTGCAAGCCCTCTGGCTCACCCCTCCGGCTCACCCCCCTAGATCAGCCCACTGGCTCACCCCTCTAGCTTAATTGGGCCCTGGGAAAAGTCTGGGCTTAGTGACTGCATGCCCCTCCCTACTCAGGGCCCCCAGGGACACTCAGGGCCAGAGGCAGGTGGGCCTGTGAGTGGAGTGGAGCCAGTAGGGCCTTGTTGAAGCCACTGCTGGACGAGAGCGGGCAGGGTCCATGGCACTAGAAAGGGCATCGGCTCCACAAGGGTGGTGGCAGGACAGGGGCTGCTGTCCACCTTCCCCACCCTCCTTTCCTCAGTGCCCTGCAGCTAGCTCCCTGCTCGGCTGCTGCCCACTTGGCCAGGTCCCAGAGTGGTGGCCAGGAGACAGTCCTCGCCCAAGGCTCAGATGCCACCTCCCTGAGCAGGCTGAGAGGGTAGAGACTGCCCCTTGTGACCTGTCACCCAAACTTCTCCTGTGCATGTTCTGGACTTCTTGGATCAGGGAACAGACGCCCCACCTGGGAACTGGCTCCACTCAGGAGTGCAGGCTGGGGGTCGGGAGGCCAGGACACAGACAGCTGGCTTTGGGGATGTCTAAATGGGGGCTGGGAGAGTGTGGCCTTATATCTTGCTGACCCACCCTATCCCTATAGGCACCATGCTGGGTCTCTGTGCCACTGTGCAGCCGCTGACCCGCACGCTGGGACCCACCCTCAGCGGCCTCCTGTACCACCATGTTGGGGTGCCTGTGTTCGGACATGTGCAGGCGGCTGTCAACCTCCTGGTCTTCCTGATGCTCTGGAAGATGCCTCTGCTCCAGAAGACGGACAAGCTGGGGTGATGGGAGCCCCCCACCCCATCATAGACTGACAATAAACTCACGCTGGACCTCACCAGCCTGGTGTTCACAGGCCCCACTGAGGGGCCCATTTGAGGGGTCTGGGCTGGGCAGATAGCCTGGAGGGCTTCCTGGAGGATGGGGCTGCACTGGCCCCAGGGGCAAGATCTCCCAGAGAAGCCTCTAGGTTTGCCCCAGTATAATCCTGCCTGTCACTGACCCACCCCCTGCTGGCCACGGCCACAGCCACTGAGGCAGACACATCTGCCTGCCCCCCATGGGGGCTCCCAACCCACCCACTGCCCACCCCTAGAACCTGCCTGGCTGAGCAGGCTGCCTGGGGCCCAGTGAACCTTCAGTGCCCTGCCACCTGCCCCAGCCCCTAGGGAGAAGCTGACTTTGTTTTAAAAATCAGGAAAATGAGGTTTGAGGTGTGGAATTCACCCCCCAGCGGGGGCCTCAGAAATCAGTTGCTGGCCAGCCTCCTGAGGGAGGGTCCCTCAGGATCACCTCACCCACCCTGTCCTGGAAACCATCTGTAGCCATGTCCTGTGTCCCCGGGCCCTACCTCCTGGTATCCTCACTGGGTATACCCACGCTGTCCTGAAGTCCATCTGTGTGTCCCCTCACCCTACCTCCCCAAGTCCTCACTGGGTATACCCACCTTGTCCTGGAGTCCATCTGTGTGACCCCCTTGCCCTACCTCTCCAAGTCCTTACTGGGTATACCCAGCCTGTCTGGGGCCATAAGACCAAGACCCAGAGACACTGCCTGTGTCCCTCCCCACCTTGGACCAGTCTGTCTAATTTGGGGGGAACGAGAATCTTTGGGGAGCAGGGTTCTGAAGGCTTACACCCCCAGACCACAAGGGCTACAGCCCTGGAAGAGGCAGTTGCCCAAATTCAATTCCATGGTGCCCAGACTGAGAAAGGGGACTCAAACCATCGGATTTCCTTTCCTCTACCCAAGAGCCCAGGCCAGACTCCACCTGTGTTGAATGCCACCCGGGGTGAGGGTCTCACTCCCTGACTTTGATTATTGATCCAGAAGAGGGTGTGGACAGGAGGGCATCTCAGTGTGGAGCCCAGGGTGGGAGTCCAGAGGCCTGGCACCATTGCTCTGCTTGGCCTCATCTGCCGCAGACCTTTGGGGTGAGGCCCTCCACCTGGCTGAGCCCCTAAGGCAGCCCTGGACGTGGGCTCTCTCATTCACTCAGGTCAGCGGTGGGCCTGCTGACTGGCAGGGTTTCTCACGCGGAGAGCCAGAGGTTTGGCCGCTCAGACCCCCTCCCTATGCTGGTCGTGTGGCTTTGCTGGGGCTCACAGACCCCTTGTCTGCGGGCCAGCCAGCACCGTCCTCAGCTGCCAAGGCCCAGCGGGGTGTCTGGGCTTGTCTTCCGGTCCCTGGCCCCCAGGGACAGGTGGTGTGTGGGCGGAGGGCGGGGCAGCTGGAGGAGTCACCTCCCACGTGTCACAGCCGCTCAGAACCCCCTGAGCGGACACTGCGGGAGGGGTGGGGGGGCGGCACAACACTGATCTGGGCCGCGGGCACTTCCCGGGGCTCAGCGGACACTAACCCCTTCGAAGCACCTGCCCTCCCGCTCCCGGTGGCCGGCAGGAATGACGGCGCACAGCGGCTGGTAGAAAAGTCATTTATTTAACTGGAATGGATACATTAATGCAAAAAAATCCACAACACTGAGACGGCAAGTGGCCATCAAATAAATATATAGATATGTCCAATAACTTAACGCGCCCGCACAGCGGGCGAGGCTCGCGGCTCAGCACGGGAAGGTCCTCTGCGGCGACTTCGGCTCGGCTGGCCTCTGGATTCCCGGCCGGGCCCCTCGGCTCCTGCGCGCGGCCCTGCGGCCGGGGCCGGTCTAACTCGTCCAGTCCCAGGCTCCTGTCGGGAGACAGGGGGTCAGCGGCGGGGCCGGGGCGCAGAGGCCCGTCCCCGACGGCGCAGGCGGCGGCCCGCGCGCACTCACCGGCGGCTCAGGACGCCAGCGGCTCGGCGGGTGCGGTGGCCGTGCGCTCCTGGCGGCTGCGGAAGGCCTGCAGCGCGCGGCGGTTCTGGAAGTCGATGAGCGCCAGCGTGATGGACGAGTTCCAGCTGCTCTCGCAGGCGCAGCGGAAGTCGATCTCCTTGCGGTCGGTGGTGACGATGGTGAAGTACACGTACTTGCCCGTGCGCTCCACGCAGTCCACCTTGAGGATCGAGTGGAAGCGCAGCTCCTTGGGGCGCGCGCCGGGCCCGGCGGGGAAGAGGCGCAGGCGGTCGGGCGTGAGCACGCCGCGCTTCTTCTTCCACAGCTGGAACAGGCTGTCGCTGCGCTTCTCCAGCTCGCCCTCGCGCAGCACCTCGCCCGGGGTCTTCATGGCGGCGGCGGGCTCGGCGGCCGTGCGGGCTCTGCGCCCCCGCCGCCCGGCGCCTCCTTTATGGGCGCCCCGCCCCGCCCGCCGGCCGCGCCCCTCGACGGCGTCACCGGCGGTGGAATGCGCGCCCGCCCTGCGCTGACTCACGGGCCGGGCGGGCTGCGGGCGACGGCGCTGCGCTCAGGCCCGGGTCCCCGGCCGCGCGCCCAGAGCCCCTTATCGCCCCTCGGGGCCCGCCGGCCTAGGACTGTCCCTGTCCCCCCGCGCGGCCAGGTGCAGGTGCTCCGAGCCTCAGTGTTCGCCTCTGGGAAGTGGGACACTCCTGTCAGCACCCGCAGCGCTCGCTTAGCGTGAACTAGGGGGTCGTCCCTTTCCGCCAACCCATCGGACGGGCGCGCGGGGGCGGCCCAGGCAGGCCCCCTCCCAGCTCGAGTCCCTGTATCCTACTGGGCGGTCCAGCCTCGGGGCGAGGGTCGCGGGGGAGGCTGACTCATGGGACAGCCTTTGATTCACCCCCAGGTTTAAAGGGTTTAAAGTATAGCAGGAAGCGAGGGCGGCTCCTCCTGGGTTCCCAGGGGTGGGGGAGGAGCTGGCTGAGGTCACTGTTCCCCGGGACATCCTCACCCAGCTTCAGTCCGTGTGACTGTGTGTGTGTGTGTGTAGTGAACACGCCGCTACCCAGAGGAGAAAGTACCATGGCCGGGAAGCGGCGGGTGAGCGGGCGCCATGGAGTCCCGGGAAGCGAGGGCTGCGCGCATGAGGCCACTGGCCCTTCAGAGTTGCCGTTAAGAAGCGCGGGACAGCCCATTAAGACATGGCCGGGCCAGGCTTATGTCATTAGGACAGGGCAGTAACTGCCCTGAGCTGATGCCTGGGAAAGGGACTGGAGAGGACTGTGTCCACTCTCCCCAGGACCAAGGTAACCGTCAAGCACAGGGAGGCCCCCAAGCCAGCCTGCCAGCCCCGTCTTCTTTAGGGTCTCACAGGGGCAGCTGGGCAGCCGGCCTGCCGGCTCAGGCACGGGCTGGAGTGGGGGCCTTCCTGGACAAGGACGGGGGCTGAAGTCACTGGTCACTGGAGGTATCCCAGCAGAGGTCACCGAGCCTCTGGCTAAGGGACCCAGTCTGTGGAGGGGCGCTCAGATCAATGCTGATGCCCAGTGCTTGAGCACTGTATTGTCTTGGGGGATTGGGACAGTGGGCAGTGGAGTCAGAGTTCCTGGGGAGGTGTTAAGGGGAGAAGGGCTTCTGGGGTCAGTGGATGTCCAACCAAGGTCATATGAGGCAGAAAGGGCATGCTCAGAACATTCCAGGTGAAGAAACAGAGTCTCCAGGAGAAAAGGGGCTGGAGAGCTGGCCGGAGGGGTAAAACCCTCACTCACAGTGACCCTGGAGGACCCAGTAGAACCGCCCACAGGGCTCTGGTGGCACAGTGCGTGTAGTGGTGCTGAGAGCAGTGGTTCTGATCCCCTAGCTGCTGCTTGGGAGAGAAGATGGCCACTCGCCTCCCGTCAAGATTACAGCCGCAGGGGAGTCCCCAGGAGACAGTAGACTCAGCCTGTGGGTTTCATCTGGTCTGAGACTCCTGGAGCCGGGAGAGAGAAGGCAGGCCTGGGAAGTGGCCGAGTGAGCCCAGCTCATGGACACAGATGTGGGGCCACTCACAGGGGCCACCAGGTCCCCAGACACCTTGGGCCTTTAGCACTTCACTGGGTGAAGAGTCTTTGAAAGTGAGGTCACTTCCACAGCAGGGCCGAGCGCTGCCGGGCTCTTACCCAATCAGCTCTTGCCCAACGCGCCACTCGGGACAGCCCAGCTGTGAGGAAGCTTGCCTGTGTCACCAGGCCGGCCCCAGTGCCCGGGGCTCGGGGCTCGATACCATTCCCATGGCGGGTAGGAGTGCTCAGCAGGAGGCCTGGGAGACAGCCTGGCCACCTCCTCCAGGAAGCCCCACCCCCACCGCATCACTGGAGCGCATGGGTCCAGGCTGCCTCCAGGCACAGTGCCAAGAGTTTGCTCCATACCACAGACCTGGGCTGACCCAGCACAGAGGCCCCACTGTGACTCAGAGCTGAAGTGAGAGGCCTGGGCAGGAGACCCCACCCCAGGGCTCTGTCTGTCCCCGTCTCTCACACTGCCTCTCCCTCCCGACAGCCCTCTGGTGCAGTCTGAGCAGCAGGTTCCAAACAGCTCTGAGGATGGAGAAACAGATGCCGCTCACACGATGACTGATGGAGAAGACTCCATAGTTAGTATCCTTGGTACCAGCAGTTAGAGCAGGAGTCGTGAAGAAACCTCTCCAATTACCGAGTAGTGCTGTCAGTCGGAAGCCCAAGGGGCACAAGATTCAGGCCGCGGTCTTTTCAGTCACTTCCTATGGTCTGAGAGCTGGACAGGAAGACTGTTGTCTTTGAGATACGGTGTTGGGCTGACGAAGGACAGGTATGTGGTATGTGTTGAAGGTGCAGCCAGGGTGCTCCTTGGAGGCAAGGATGATGCTTTGTCTCACACACTTTGGGCACGTTCCTAGGAGAGGCAATTCCTTGGAGAGGGACATCAGGGTTACAAAGGAGGGAGGCAGGCAAGAGCAAAGCCCCGCAACCAGGACTGGCATCGTACAGCGACAGGGTCAAGTGCTAGAGTGTGAGGATGGCCAAGGACAGGGTTCAGGTCTGCTCTTCACGGGAGAGCTGTGGGTCGTACTGGGCTTGACGGCACCTCCCGACGCCCACCGTTTCCACAGCTTGTAAACGTCAACATAAGCATAGGCTTCAACTTTCTCCCCAAGGGCTGGTCCTCTGGAGCCTCCTTTCAGCTGGCATGGAACACTGCCCCTCTCTTCCATATTTAATAAGTGGAAATCACTGGAGTTATTTCTAAGACCTCACCCATCATCTCACAGGGTTAGTGCTGTTTCACTAAGGGCCGTAGTCTGGTTGAACACTGTGGGCACCTGCCCTTAACAGTTTGTAAAGGTTGTGTCCTGTCTACCAATGATCCTAGGGGATAATGCCCGTATTCTTAACCGCTGCTGTCATCTGCCCCTCCAGACAGAAGAGAACAGAGAAATTCACAAACTCCAAGTTGTTTATGGACTTAACAGATGACTTCTAGTGGAAGGGAGAAAAATGTGGAGCAGAACCCTAAGAACTCCGGGCTCAGAGGGCCATGGAGGAGGAAGGCCCGACCAGCATAGAAGCAGCTCTGAACAGAGTGAGCCCCAGGGTGCCCCCTGACGTGAGAGCTCACAGTGTCGTCTGACTCAGGAGCGCTGTGCTCAGCTCCGTGAGCCCCACTGGTCAGTTCCTCCAAGGGCAGGGACAGAAAGGAGCAGAGACTGTAAATGAGGCAACCAGAAGAGAAATGGGAGGCACGCAGGCAGGTGAGCAATGCAGGCTGAGGGTCAGCAGTGTCACCGACTGGACGGTGAGTGTATAGCTTGTTGAAAGGGCATCCGTGTGCTATGCACACTTTCACCAAAAAATCCACTAGGAAAGGCGATCTAAGATTCTACCAAAAAATGATGGCAAGACACTTCAAGAGAGTGGCTTCTCCTTTGAGAGATGACATTTTATTTGAACAGTGAGCTAAACCTGGAATCCAGTGTGACCTGGAAGGAGCTGCCTGGGCCAGGGAGTGACAGCCGCTGGGCCAGGCTGTTGGGTTGCCATGGAGACAAACATCCGGGCCCGCATGCCTGTTGGTGCTGAGTCAGCCTGGCCATCAAGGCGGGTGACGAGGCTCTGCAGGTGCTGCTTGGGGGCCCTCGGAGCCAGAGGCCAGAAGACAGTGACAGGAACCCTCGGCAGCCGCCCGGAGGCTGTGTCCCACCTTCCCTAGCAAGTCCTCAGAGCTGGCCACACAGCTGGCCAGCTCCCAGAGAAGGCCTGGGTGCCAGCTTCCAGAGGAAGGAGTCACCCCACCCTGGGCGGCAGCAAGAATCAAAGTCTGCCAAAGGGCCAGCTGTGGGCTCCCTGGGGATGGGGAGGCCGAGACCTCACCGCTGACTGCTCTAGATGGACACTGTCCTGCCAGTGGTCACATCACCACTCAGAGCCAGGTGTCAGCAGGACAAGGCCAATGGCTCCCTTGATGTCACCCCTCACCTCCCAGGTACAGGGACTGTGGGGGAGCAGGGGCACGCCCAACTTCTGAGGAACTGATAAAAGGGAGTGTTCGGCAGGGCAGGACAGACAGACAAGTGCGAGTGCGTGCACCTCCACCCGCAATGCTGCCTGGCGGCCAAGGGGTGAGCCGGTCTGTCCGCAGCAGCCACAGCTCCTGAGACCTGGAGGGGGCCTTAAGTGACAGCACCGAGGGGTCGGTCCAGAGTCAGGACAGTGGGGAGACTGTCCCTCCCACCACTCTACAAAGTTGCTCCCCTCAAGACAAAGCAGCTCTGCAGACTCTCCAGATGGTAGAGATGGACACTCGGCCTCCTCAAAGACCCCCAAGGTGTGGACAGGACTCTGTGAGTGTGCTGCCACGGGGTCACATTCTCCACTGCTTATCACCGGACGGATCTCTGAGCACCAGTGGACAATGGTCCCGAACCTCCTCTCCCAGTCGTGCACCAGGTGAAGAGCTGGGCCTGGCCAGGACACACGTGGACGCGCGCGTGCGTGACGTGGCCGTGGTGCCGGAGAGCAGTGCAAGGCCTCCATGGCCACCCCAGGGCTGTCTGCTCAGAGGTACTACAGAACAGTGGCAGAGTTAGAGGCACGAGGCCAGGTCAGCAGCCCCTCCTCAGGTAGGCTGTGACCAGGGGAGGACAGATACAGTGTGGAGTGCAGGGTGGGCAGGGCAGGGACCGCAGGCACAACTCCACAAAACGGATGACTCTTCAACAGCACACAAGACACAAAACCAGAGAGCGTGCCCGAGTCACAGTCCCCGTGGTCCCCTTGCACGTGGCTCATCTGGCACCTCCCCAGAGGGCAGTGACCCACAGGCCGGGCCAGCAGCCTCGGCGCAGGTTCTGCCCAGAAACCCCGGCACACATGGGCGTGCGCACACAGGTCAGGGCACACTTCCTTTCCCTATGGTCCAGGTACTTGGTCTGTGACCCCTGTGAGTCCAGGGTGCCATTTCAGGGCAGCTCGTGGTCATGCCTGCCTGCCACATCTTGTCCTTCTCTCAGGGCCCCAGACCTTGTTACTCCTAGTGGGCAGGATAGAGGTGCCCGGCCCGCACCCCCGTGTGCGGCTACAGCAGTCAGCACGGCCGTGGGCCCTGCATCATCACACGCCGCACACGTCGGGCTAGTGGGGTGTTGGGCAGCATGGCCTCATCAGCCGTGCCCCTGGCCGGCATCATGGCCTGTGGGTGGAGACTCAGTCACTTTCCCTGGAAATTACAGTGGCAGCTTCAGTGCCACTGTCCAGGCCCTGATGACCTTGCAGACACTGGGCCTGACCCCCACTGAGACTGCCTGCTGACCAAGCACACTCCCTACGCAACCACTCTTGCCTTCAATTACTTGGCTGTGACGCCAGGGGACAGTGAAGGGCTTCTGGGGGCTGGGCAGCACCCCAGGCGGCTCGAGAGCCCTTCCTGAAGCAGCATTCCAGGTGTGGGGCACAGGCCAGCAGGCAGGGCTGTGGCTTCTGTGGGAACCCCCGTCGCGCTGGGACAGGATGCAGGGCACTGTGGAGTTTCCCCAGCCATGCGGGGCTCACTGAGTCACGAAGACTGCTGCTGTCCAGGGAGGAAAGGGCAGTCAGCCGGCAGAGGTTCAGCGGTTAGGTAATCTGACTGGAGAGGTTCCAGGCGGGGCACTTCCTCTCCTGAGGGAGGGAGGAGTCTGACAGGCAGAGCGTCATCCAGGGCTTTCACCTGCTACATCCCTTCACACCCTCTGGAATCAAAGCCTGCCATCCAACCCAGACCCCATCAACTGGGAGGGACCCCCTCCCCTGGGGCTCCATGGCTGTGACTTTAATGCAAGGGGTTGCTAGGAGGTTCAAGCTGCCCCCAGAGCTTTTTCAACCTGCAAGGAACAGAAAAGCCCCCCAAACGCAGCTCTTCCCCTTGTGCCCAGCTGGAACCAACTCAGAGCTGACCCCCTTCTTCCACAAGGCTGGAGGACGAGAAGTGCCAGCGGCAGGCCCTTGGGTCAGGAGCTCTTTGTGGGAGACAGCCAAGCTCCCTGCCGAAGAAGCTGCCCGGGAACTGAGAGCGCCTCGTGGAGGTGTGAGGACAAGGGCCTCTCACCCTGCTGTGCCAAAGGCTGGGGGGCCCACACCGAACCCCCAGGACAAGAGAACACAATCCTGACCTGACACCCAGGGGCTAACCCACAGAGGATCCAGGACAAGGGGAACCACCCCCCATACCCCGGAGGCCCCTCCCAGACACAGACAGTCCAGAGCCAGGTCATGGTTCACAACTTTAATAGAATATTCTAACTATTCTGTACAAATTGAAACACCGTATTAGATACAAAGGTGGACTGTAAGGTAAGGCTGGTCTCGTGCCGCAGGCCTGGCCGCTTCAGACCCCGCCCGCAGGCCACACCGTTCGGGGCTTTTGAAAACACGCGGGTCGTGGAGCAGGAGAAGGGGCTCCACGATCCCACTCCTCAGCACTTCCTCCTGGAGTGGGCGGCAGGCAGACCCGCACTCGGCCACAAGCCCTCCCTCCTTCCCTCCGCCTTCACAGCCAGGTGTGGTCCAGCTGCCCAGAGCTGTGGGCAGGGCCACGCTGCCACCATGGACGCCACATCTTCTAGGCTGAGGTCGTTGAAGCTGTTGTCACAACATGGCTCCAGAAATCATAAGGACAGGCCACAGCCCAAGTCCAAAGGCCTCACGAACATGAGCGAATAAATAAATAGGAGAAGGAACTGCTAAAGCTATTGCTGAGAGTCAGCGTGCGCCGCCCCGCCCGCCCCAACCCTGCTGCGGGATGAAGGCGGCGCCCGCGCTCCGGAAGCTGACGCTAGGACACGGGTCAGGTCGGGCCCACAGGCGAGCGGGCTTCCCCACAGGCAGGCAGCAGCCCTGGCGGCAGGACAGTGCGCAGGGCCTGGGCGCCTGGCCTTTCCCCTGCGAGCGGCCCACGCGGTGGGCACTCCCGCTCGGCCCCCTGGAGAGGTCTCTGGACCTCCAGGGCAAGGCTGGGAGCTCACGGGGCAGCACAGGTGCTGCAGGGAGCGTCTGACTTCGGAAAGGTCAATCAAGTGGTCACTGTACAGGTTAAGCCCAATAATAAAGAAACAGGAAAGGGAGTAAAAACCATGCACGGGAGAGCACGTTAGGTGAGCGGGTCAGCACGGTCCGAGGTCCCGACGGTCCACCGAGCCTGGAAGGGGCATCTACTGCTGCTTGCACTCAGCGGGCTGGCTGGGATCCTTCTGTCAATGAGAGGGGAGGCCTTTCAGAGGAGACTTTCCCATCAGTCACACAACGCTTACAGCACATGGACTCCTGCTTCAAACACAGGCTGACACGGGGGAGAGACGGACAGAGGGAGGGGTGCCCGACACAGACCAAGTCAGGATCAGGAGTGGGCCTTGGGCTAAGCCCACCACACTCCGGCCAGCGGAGGGGAAAGCCAGGCCTGTGGACACCTGGCGGCTCCTGCTCCTCATGGGGAAGCATTTCCCAGGGGAACCACCAGGCACACCCACACTCCACTGCTTTGGGCAGGGCACAAGGCAACCACATGGGCGCTGAGAAGATGTAGTAAGATGGCACTGGATTCCCTGCTCCAGGACCACTCCTGCAAAGGCCTCAGGGAAGCATCGCTCCCATGTCAGGAGCCGACTGGTCCAATCTAATCTACTGTGTCAAAACCAGCCACACCAGTGCCCCCAAGTCCCTGACCTGCGGTTTCTGACTGGTCAGTGTCCACTCCAGCAACTCTCATGGGCCCCTGAACCTCCTGCTTCCTAAAGCCCGAGGAGTATTGTACAGCAGCCCAGCTGCTCCTTGGGAAGCCATGTCAGGATCAGGTGGGGAAAGGCCGAGAAGAGCCCCAGAGGCAGGCCAGCCCGTGCTGGCCCCCGTGTTCTCAGCGAGGTAAGTGGAGGTGCCCGCACACCGTCCCCCAGGGGAAACTGGCCAGGCCACGGAGAAGGCCATCAAGTGGGCTTGTGGGGTGACACGGTGAGAACTGGGGCAGAAGACACAAGGAGACGTCTTACTCTCTCCAAGTCTCTAAATTACAGATCCGGCATCATGCCATTTACACAGCGCCGTGTAAATTAAAGAGCACGTCCAACTACCTGAATAAGCCAGGAGTTTGGCTGAGAGCAGACAGTGCTTATTAACAGCCAACAGGAAGAAAGTGCGACTTCCAGTGGCGCCTAGAGGCTGGGGCTGGGCCCAGGGTCAGCGCAGCGCTGTCCGAGCACTTCCTGGCCGACGGAGAGATGGCGCGGGCAGGAGGGGAGTCAAGGCCCCAGGAGAGGGAGCGATGGCCAGAGAGGCCGAGCCTGTGCATGCTTCTTCTGAGGGGCACTCGCAGTGGGCCTCCACATGCGGACTGTGTGCCGCAGACCGCCGGCGTGCACAGCCTCCAGCCACCCACCCTGGCCAGCAGGCTGATGGTCCTGAGCTCAGCAGCAGGGACTGGGCCATGGTCCAGGTGAGCTGGATGGCAGCTCGGAACCTCAACACTGACCTCTGCTGGGGCAAGGAGGACACTGCGTGCACACGGGCTAATGGCCCAGAGAAGCTAGAGTGACCACGGTTTCAACAGCAAGAACCTGTGGCGACAGGGCATGATTTTGGCTACGGCGATGGCCAGCCCAGATTCTGACAACAGAAGGGAAGACAGCAAGCCACCGAGCGCTCATTTCAGCTCATCAGATGCTTTGAAGCCCCACTCGGGGAGCAGCCGTTCGCTTCCGGTGCGTGGGGCCGAGGTCACCACCGCCCTAGCCTGTGCTGGTTCCTCCCTCTGTAGGGAGGCCTGTGTCCCCTCTGCCTCGCATCTCAGCTTCTCCGAGAGAAAGCTCACCTGGCCCTCTGCGCATGCCTGCTCATCTGCACAACGCCTCCACTGGCGACGTGCAAACAGCCAGCAAACCAGACAGCAGTCCCGGGACGCAGGCCAATAAGGAGCCAAGATGCGGATCTTTGGGGCAGCACACGACCAGTCTGGACCGAGAGCAGAGCCCCTGTTAAAATGCCCTGCAGGGCACGCCTCAGCTGCCCAGCTCTGAAGGGAAACGCCACATCCCACCTGCAGCCTGTGCTGGACTCTCTGGAGCGCACACACACCACAGTGCTGGCCGTCCATGGGCCAGGGAGCCATACTGTCCCCGCTGCCTAGGCCTGACCTCGTCACCCAGTGGAAACACATGTGGAAGATAGAGATCAGAGCTTGGAGAGTAGGAATAAAGGGAGTTCCACCTTACCTAGCCACGTATGAATGATTAACAGACAAAAATTACACCTAAACGGGGAAAAAATGGAAAGTAACTGTCAGCATGAAAGAAAACAAAATGCACAAAATCATACAGGAGGAACAGCCACAATTTCTCATCAGAGCGGACGGCTGCCCAGTCCTCCACCTGAGATGGACCCTTCTACACCCCAGGGCTGTCGCGTACCAGGGGGCAGCCCATGGACTTCTCAGCGATTCCAACAACCGAGCACTCCCCACCATTGTGGACATCAGAGACAAGTGTGCGAGACATGTCACACCGACCACCGCACGGGCCCTCCTCCCGGACGCTGACCTCCAGGCCCAGGAGCCAGGGAGGAAGGGTGGTGCTCACACCGTGCCGGGACGTGCGATGCAGTGTGGTCTCCAGGTGAGAACGCTCCTTCCGAGACAGAGGGGATGGGGAGATGATGCATAGGGCAACACATGGAACGCCAAGCAGACAGGACAGAAAGACCCCTGAGAAACAGAGGCTGGTGCCAAGGACACAGAGGCCAAACAGGCACATGTGGCAGACAGGACCTTCAGACAAGGCCCCCACTCAGACCCTATCCTCCTGGTCTTCAAGTGGAGCCCTTCACTGCCCCAGGGACCACTGCTCAGCCTCAGTCTCCTCCCATGTGCTTATTCCTAGAAGCAACGCCCGGAGCTCTTGCCCCTTTCCTGTCCTTCCCAGAAGGACATCAGTCATGCACTGTGTTGTTTTTACTGTGGTTAGGCCTAGCCCTGATGGTGACGGGTCGAGGCCCATTAGAGAATAGGGGGCCTGCTGTGTCGGTGAAGCTGGAGCAGGGTGCTATGTCAGTCTCGCTGGAGGCAGAAGGAAAGGAGAGGAAACGACGAAGGAGAGAGGAGACGACATGGAAGGACACACGAGAGCACCGATGAGCCAGGAGGGAAGAAGAGACAAAGCAGAGAGGAGATGGTCCCCTTGAACACAGAACACTGTCCCCAAGAGGCACGGCTAGAAACAGAAGTCAGGAAACCAAAAACCGTGCTAGACTAGGGGGTCTGCTGTCAAGGAACCGAAAGCCGTCAGTCGGGGCTGTGCGTATCTTTTCCCACATTCTAGTCAATCTCTATGCTGAGCAAATAGCTGGACTTTATGAAGTAAAATGGGGCCTGAGGATCAGAGGAAGACTCATCAACTACCTGCGTCATTAGACCATACAATCTTGCTTGCTAATAGCAAAGAGGACTGGAAACACTTGTGGCCGAAGATGATCACAGACTAGCCTTCGTCATGGATTATAACAGCTCAATAACAAGCAAGCAAATTATTCTCACCAATGGACCAATAAGCAACGTCTTGACAGATGGACAAAACATTAAAACTGTCAATAAATTCATCTTACTTGGATCTACAAAGTGCTTGGTACGAGCAGTGAGAGGATCAAGAGATGCATTACTTGGGGCAACTCTGTTGCTGCGGACCTCTCCAAAGTCCTAAAGAGCAATGATGTCAGTTTAAAAATTGAGGGGGACCTTATTCAAGCCTTGGGCTTTTCAAGTACTTGCTATGCATTTGAAAGGTGGACAATAAGGATGACAGAAGAACGGATACATTTGAACTCTGGTGTTGGGAAGCGTACTGAATATGACATCGACTACCAAAAGAACAAACGTCTTAGAGAAAGTGCACCCAGGTGTTCCTTGGAAGCGAGGCTGGTGGAACTTCACCTCACATATTCTGGGGATGTGGGCGGGAGAAGCTAGTTCTTGGGAAAAGACTTCGGTCTTGGAGAGGTGGAGGGTTAGTGTGAGAGGAAGCCCCTGAACAATGTGGGCTGACCCAGCAGAGTAACAAGAGGCTCCAGTCTATCAGAGATTGTGAGGACGGCACTAGGTATTGCGAGGCTCAGATCCACTGTTCACAGGGTCACGATGAGTCCCCAGTACCTAACAACCAAAAGTAACAGTAAAAGCTGCAGTACCCTGACAAAGATTCGTGACAAAATTATGCATGTCAAAAGCAAATTCTGACAGGGCCCTGAAGTGAAGGTGGTCACCAAGAAGTCTCTGTCTCCAGTGAACACGCGACTGGACAAAAGGACGTGCTTTTTATGCAAAAACCGTGCTTGAGTGATCCCAAATGTTTGGTGATGTTGTCTAAGCAAGACCGTAAAGGGATCACTGCTAATTACAGGAGCCCAAGAAGGATAGAGAAGAGAGTTGGAAAACCCAATCTTTCCAAAATGAGACCAAGACTACTAGATATAACTAAGCAAGCTCATCAGCTTGGAAGAAGGCAGAGATGTGTCTGCCTGCCTGCGGGCAATAAAAGGCCCAAAGGAGCAGCATCCCTTGTCCTCCATGATGCGGGGACCCCTGCACTGTCTGTGAAAGGAGCACAGGGAGAGGGGCCCTGGAAACTAGGGGGGGACTCAGCCCCGAGGGTACAGTCGGATTCTGAACAGCTTGTTCCGGTTATGGAGTCGGGATGCCATTCAGGCATACCTGGGGACGGTGCCACCCGAAGCCCAGGGAGCAAAGGACCCGGAGTCAGAGCTGAAGGCCATCAAGTGGGCTTGGGACTTGTGTTTGCCATTTCTCTGCTTGCTCCAGTGTCTCTCATCTGTCATGCATCTATCTGTCTGTCCTAGTACTGGAATGTGAAAACAGGTAACATATATCGTTATTTCACAAGTACAGAAATGAAGAGAAATTTTACACCCAGGTCCTTCCCCCAATGTCCCAAAACTCTCCCTCACATGTAATTTGTATGACTCAGAAGATGAAGTTTCAGACACAGAGTGGATCTGAGACTTCTGAGATGATGAATGGGTTTTGCACAAATAAACTTTTTTTGGGAGGATGGGAGACAGACAAAAAGGATAGAATGATACAGACTCAACAGTGTCTCCCACAAAGTATGTGCTGTAAACCCTAACTTGTATTAGGCTCACTGTCAAAATCTCATTTGGGGATGGACCTTTTGTTATTTCAGGACACAGGATTACACAGCATGTATCTTCGTCTTTTGAGATAAAGGAAATCAGATAAGCCAGGGGAAAGAGAAACGGGGGACTACAGATGCCAAGGCATACAGAGCTCTCCAAGGCGAGGCGGCAGCAGCTCTAGCGACAAGGCCCCTCTTCCAGGGCAGAAAGAGAAGCGTGCTCTGTTGGCCTAGTAGGTAGAGGGAGTTGTGTTGCCAACACAAAGGTGCACAATTTGAACCTACCAGCTGTTCCATGGGAGAAATATGGGCAATGTTCAATGGCTTGGCTCTAACGTCACGGTACATAACAACAGCCCCCTCAACAGTGAGAAAACCAACCTCGTTTGTTAAAGTCATACATGGGTGGTGTTTCTGGGCTATAAGAGCACTAGGGGTTGTGGTGTTAACACACTGAGGACAGAACCAAGAACACATCAATAGTAGCTGAGAGCAAAGCTGCCCCGGGCACAGCAGGCACAGACAGACAACATCTACGGATGGACACTACAGTACACTACAGGGAGCCTGGGCTGCACAAACAATGTCTACGGATGGGAGCACGGGCCCAGGGAGCACGGGCCCAGGAACCAGGCAAAGTTAGCAATCCAACAGCCCAGAAGATACTGAATCCCAAGATGCATACAAGCTATAAACAGAATTTCATACTAGAAAATCAGCTAATTCTCAGTACATCCTGTGGGAGGCACTACAGAAGTTCTGGATAAAAATACAATTTATGTAGCAAAGTATGCTAATTTCAACTAAACTGCTATCATGAGCAAGTCTGCTTACTCTTTTTAAAGCTCTTTCATAAAGTTCGCTGGCTCACTGTAAATTATCGACATAGCTCAACATCTCCTGACCAGTCACAGTCCAACTACAAACTGCTCACTATTTCATTATTCTACCATTAAAACAATCCTTCTTTTTTTAAAGTTTTTAAAGAAAGGAAAATGTTTACAAATGGCTTAAGTTAAATTGTTCACTGAGAACAATAAAGGATGTAGAAAATAAGGCTACTGTGTAGAGAAAGTAGACTAGCTGAGATGATTAAAACATTTCACAAAAGCCTTTCGTAGATTATTTATACTTCAACACTTATTTTTTTTTTTTAATATATTACATTTTCTAGATACAGGTGACAAAAACAAGTTCTGCCCACTTCTGCATCAGAGGTCAAACAACGCAGCGGGCGAGTTCACCTGTGCACTCCCCGAGTTACTCACCTTGGGGTTAACCTCGGCGTCCTCCTCCTCTTCTCCCTCCTCATCACCTTCTAACTCCTACAAGTGGAAAGGGGAGAGGAGTGACAGTGAGTAAACACACAATTTCAAGAACTTTAGATTTCCTTACAGAAACTCACACAACAAATCTAGTTCAAAGGAATCAGGTCTTCAAACCTCTGGTTCAATCACTTCTTCTGTATAAACACCTGAGCTGGGGAGTTTTGAGCTGGTGGATGCAGATGGACTGCAGATTGTGTTGAAGGCAGGCCCACTCCTGGACTGCACCATCTTCACAGTAGTTATGTGATCTCCCAGCAGTCTGTGCCAACTTTATCACCTCCATACACACGCTGTAACTGAAGCCTCTTCACTTCACATCCCACCGGCACTGGCTTAGAGGAGCCCCAGACCAGCCGTCTGCCCGAATGCTTCTGCCGTGCTCTTCCAATCCTGACGTGTTGGTTCCAGCATCAAGGATTCCCGGCTGGTAAGAGTAAAGACCTGGCCACAAGTACAAGGCTTCTGTTTTCTTTGTTCAGAAGTTCTTCTCTCAGCTTCTTTACTTCCTCCCTCTCCTCCTCCAATCCAAGGAGGTCAGTGGCCTCGTTATCTCTGCTGTCTCCAGCTCCACTCCCTGCGGTGTCTTCCACTGTTGTTGTTGACTCATAGCGACCCTATGTACAACGCCCTAAACCCTGCTCTACCCTGTGCCAATCGCACTACCTCTAACACACTCATCCCGATTACCCCAGTCACTGAATCAATCCACCTCATAGAGGGCCTTCCCCTCCTGCGCTGTCCTTCCACCCTCCCAAGCATGATG